GAACACAACTCTGAGGTCTTCTGAGACAAAGAGTCAGGGCACCCTCTGGAAATAAAGCAGGATACAGTCTGTGTGCTAGTAAAGCTGAGCTGAGCAGATGGAGCAGAAGCCCCAAACCCTGCAGTGCAAGGCCTCCTGAGGGACAGGGACTAAGGGTCCCTTAAAGGGACTGAGGGCTTTCTTCATGTCCCAGCTCAGTGATCTACTACGACAGGGAAAGAGGAAAGAGAAGATGAGAAAGTGTCTCATTCTCAGTGTGGGTATATGTATAAAAATATATACAATTTCTTTATATGACTCCACAAAGCAGAATGCCTGGAATAAGGTGCCCAAACTTCCTCTCAGCAAGTTGCATTGGATTTCTGGCAGAAACAGAAGAGACAAACAAATAAAGCCCCCTTAGCTGTCCCACATTTTATCTGGAGCCTGGGCTCAGACTCCAGGGGAGAATTTCACCTAGCAGCAGTGAGGCACTGCTTTAGTGGCTCTAGGTTTGCGTGTCAGGGTGATTAAAACTCTCCCAACATAGTGCCAGCATTATCTGCGATCCTTTTTGATAGATTCAGCACCATCTAATCAAGATAGTCAGGGCTCTAACGTGCACCACATCTAATTTTTTAGATCATAACTTGCCAGATGTCAAATACTGAAGACATCTCCCCAGCCAGACTGATATTGCCAGCCAGGTGCAATTTGTTGATACAGCAGAGCGTTATCTTACTCGTGTTATTTATCATCTCATTCAAAGTGATATAAAGACACGCACTTTCTTTCATTCACTTCCTCCTGAAGATTAAACACTACAGAGCAGTAAGTCATTGCTTGCCTAACTCCTTGTTTATCTCATTCTCTCAAACAGGGAATTTCAGGTGGTGTGGCATTGAGCTAGGTAGTCTCCCACCTATTCCCAATAGACTCTCAATCACACTTAAGCATTTTGGTCTGAACAAGACAAAGAGAACTGTCTCTCTTTGCAGTTTTATCTTAACAATAATAATTTGAAACATTTTAAATTTCTCTCTAAATCCCCAGTATTATTTCTCTCTCTTTAAAAATTCCTTTAACATATTTATGCATGAGGGCTGTGCAAGCCACTCTGAAAGAAATGTCAGAGTCATTGTGAGTTCAATTTCCTGAAACTGGGAACTCCTCTGCCTGTTACCACCTCCAGATTCATTCCCCAGAAGGGAAATGTGTGAGGTTAGAAAGTTGATGTAATTGAGAATTAATTGATACCTTGAATAGGTGAAACAAACCGTAAGGCATTTGAAATCCTAGTATTAGAAATGTAAATTGCTTTTCATCAAGAGATGATACAAGAAGGACAACACGGCCCAGCCAAATTCTTAAAAAGCAAGGTAAAGAAGTAACTAGATTCCATACAACATAGGGTAAATGTGTAACAACCCTTCAAAAGGGTCACAAAGTTCCAGATATTCATTAGTATCTTAGGCTAGTGAATACACTTTCAAAACTGGCAGAAAACATCAATTTGGAAGGGACATCTCTTAGAGAAATGAATTCAAAATGTGTTGGGTTTTATTTGGTTGGTTGGGTTTTATCAACTAGAAAAATAGTCTAATATTGTTGTCAAATATGCAAAGATTAGCTAAAATTAGGGAGGTCTGCTTAGGACAAAGAACTGATTTTAAAAATTTTGATAGAGCTGTCAGTGAGAAAACATCAGGAAAATTTTCTAACAGGAAAGTCCAAACTACTGAGCAATTTTACTTCACACAAAAGCACTGTTTTCTATTTTAACACACAAAACAATTTTAAAATCTAATCTAAACAGTGATCCAACAGATTGCAGGGCACCAGCTGTAGATTTTTCATTATGTTATATAGAACAAGTTACTAGGGGAAATGGATTTTCAGATTTGTTCTTTGGAATTTCTAAGTTTACCAGAGCTTCCTTACAACACCATATTACTTTAAATTGAAAGAAAATAAAATTAATATTAATTTGAAAGTTATCTCTAAGCTGAGAAGTGAAATGAAATTTGCAAACTTGTTTACACATTCAAGAGAGGATGGATTAGTTCCTCCCTTAGTGATTTCTAATGTTGGGAGTCAAATTATATTTGGTGAGTTTTCAGATTTATTTGGTGTGTTCTAATTCTACCTCCAAAGCAATCATTATAAATAGATTTTAAAGGTCAAGCACACTTCTAAAGCTTAGAGGGGGGAGAATTTTATAGGAGTGCCTACAACATTGATCTTAAAGCAATCCAGTGACTTTCACTAGCATCTTCCTGATCACACTCTGTGGATGAGCATTAGCTGCAGGTTCTAGGCTAATTATAAACTTCCTTTTTTTTTTTTTTATTCTCTGCATGTATTTAAATCAAAAGGTACCTATGATTTTTCTCAGCAAAGGGCTGCCCCTGGAGGTAAGAGGTATGCTTAAGAGCAGTTGTATTCACACCACCTCGGTTCACAAAGTAAGAAACCAAGCACAATCTAGTCTGTGCCAGCCAGCAATCCAATCTCTGTCAGGGAACCTCATGCTGCCTCACTTGATGCATCTTCCTGAATACTGGGGAAAAGCATCAAAACTGGATCTGCATCATGCGTGCCCAGCACGTCAAGGGATGTTATTCTTTCCTTCTGCTCTGCCCTGGAGGGGCCATATCAGTAATACCATGTCCAGGTCTGTACTCTTCAGTTCATGACAGACTGGTAACTTCCAGAGGCAATCCAGCAGAGGGCCACGAAGACAATGAGGGACTTGGAGCATCCCTTGTAACAAAAGGTTGAGATATGTGGGACTGTTCAGTCTGGAGAAGAGAAGGCTGAAGGGGAATCTTACCAATGCATATAAACACTTATTGGGCAGGAGCCAAGTGGACAGGACCAGGCTCTTTTCAGTGGTGCCCAGCGAGAAGATAAGAGGCAATGAGGCACAAACCAGATCACAGGGAGTTCCATACAAGCATGAGGAAAAACTTTTTTACTTTGAGGGTGATAGAGCACTGAGACAAAGTGCTGAGAGAGGTTTTACAATCTCCTTCCCTGGAGATATTCAAAATTCATCTGACCACCTTTCTGTGTAGGGAACCTGCTTTAGCAAGAGGTAAGACTAGATGATTTCCAGAGGTCCCTTCCAACCCCTACAATTCTGTATTCATTTATATTCACACAAAGACAAATGTAAAGACAAAGTCTGAACTTCATGTTGTTTCATTTCATTTTGACAGCCTTCACCACTTTTGTGCTTTTCCACTGTGGACAAATTTGTTCAGTTCGCAGGATAAGACACAAGAAACCTCCAGGATGTTCTAATTTGCACTTCGTTTTTCTTCTCTCTCTTCTGAGCACGTGAGAACAGCTGAGGTAAACTATACTGTCCAGATATGAATTACTTTGAGAGCATTTTTGCTCCTGTTCCTTCAAGCCATTAGTGCAGTAATTAACACCTCATAGGAAAGCATATGTATTTGAGCACACAAGCTTTGTATTTTATTTTTCCAGTGGTTAATACGGAGAGGGAAAAAAAAAAAAAAAAAAAAAACCAGAACAAAACCAGAGAGCACTGGAAATGGAAGTACAGTGTTAAAACCAAAGAGCAGATGCTTACATTCACTACAGCTGGATCTCTTTGCAAACACATATTCAGCACGTTATATCTGGCTTCTCACATCCATGCGTGCCTTACCAGCTGTCTGTTTCTTTCAGCACTGTCTTAATACAAACACCAGTACAATTTAAAATCTTTACATCCAGTTTAAAAACGGCATCAAATCATTCCATGACATCAGACAAATAGACTGGTCGTTCTAGCTTCCTTCAAAATCTTGGTTACGCTGAGCATCTGAATGCAGAAAACTATTTGACATTTGACTAACTCCTTCTTACTGTAAAGCATTTGATAGTATGAAAGGAATCTATTTACAATGGCTTTGTGCTTGCAAATGTCACTCAAGCATCATCAGTAGCCCAGCAGCAAACCACCTGGTGCCTGCCACAGCCTTCTGTTTACAAGGGGAGGGAAAGGTTACATTGGGAAGTACAGCACCAGTACATTTATTTGACGGTATCCTCAATCTTTGGTAGAGATTTATAACAGCCTTTCAAAGGAAATACTGTCAAATAGAGGGGACACAAAAATTCAGGAGTTTTGCCCTATACCAAGGATGTGAGATTGTCTAATAAAAAAGCCTCACAAATAGCTGTAAGAAGTGAAGATCCCACCCAAAACATGCACACATACTTGACAAATTAATGCAAAAAAAACTTAAATGGTCTCCTCAGCACATTTTTACTTCTTTCCACAGTCTAAAGATGATAGAAACTGAAAAGAGAAAAAAGCTTGACAGGCTTTAAGCCTTCTAAAATTTGTAGCTTGATAATCTGGCCTATGCTGTAGCTTTGTGCTCAAGTAGGGACTACTGTTCCAGAAGTGGAGCCACATTTACATGTCACACTGCACTCACATTGCTCAGCACCTTTCAAGACACACGAATACCATATCAGAGCAGACTAAGATCGAAGTAGCAGACATAAGTGTTGTCTCCCTAACAAAAGCACTGTAAAGTGACTTAAAAAGAGGCACAGCAGAATCCTTCATCTGTTGCTGCTCACTGATTTCCAGATTAACAAACTTCAGTACACAAGCAGAAAGCTTTGTACACAACAGCCAGCTGTTGTGAGCTGACTCAGAGTGCTCGATGCTCACAGACAGCACAGCTATCACTAAGAGCTACAAATAAAACAGAATTTTCAGAACAGCTCCATAGCTCATGCCAAATGTATGAAAGAAGAGAAGAATCTGACTACTACCACTACTGAAGTTTCCATACCCATTGTAATTGCCATACAATTCCTTTTAGCAAGCTGGTTTTGTCACTGGGTGAGTTTTGAACATAACTAAACCTGCAAGGTAAGAGCACCAAAGGACATCATAATTTCTTCACAATCTCTGGAAACATGTGGTTCTAGACACTATTCCTTTAAGCACCTGGCTCAAGTATTGCTGAAACATGAAATCAATTGCTCACCTTTTGATCCAGACTGTAGGCCAGGATCCACTCCTCCTGCTTGGGGTGAAAGAGCAGACTTTGGATATAGAAGTTCAGACGGTACTTCTGGTACGTAGCTCCTTCATCAGAGCTGATGAGAATGCTGCTCTCAATGTCTGGATCACTGAGAAGCATGATCTAAAGAGGAAAATGGAAGGAATAATGTGTGAATGGAAAAGCAAAGCTAAATGTCATTTGACAGCTCTAATTCCTATTACTCATATTCAGAACATTGTTCAATGGTGTAAAGAGCCTGCAGGATTTCCCAAATAACCTGTGTTTTCTAAATGTTTGGTTTCTAGCCTGTTTGGTGATTCATTCACTGGTGACATTGTAATTTCATTTTTTGTCCAAAAAAATTAGAAAGTCCAAGAGTGAAAATGCCATTATGATATTACTTTGGCAGAGCAACTTCAGAGAGCCACATCTGGCTCTTCCTGGACTCTTTTTTAGTCTATTGCTTCCCTCCAGAAATGTGGAAATCTCTCCCCAGAAGTAAACAGGGAACTCCTGAGATTTCAGGCTCGTTATTTAGCAGTTTGCAGAGCTACAGATGAGAGTGTCACTTCATTGGAAATAGAATGACTATGTGGATCATCTGCTGACACCTGAAATTAGTCCAGAGGTGCGCTTGCAAGCATTACTACATGACCTTATACATCACTCTTCCAATCCATACAGTAGAAATCCATTCACTCATAAAATACATAATTTTCCCCAAGTACAGGAAAGTGTATGACCTCAATTTGTACAAGGAGAAAAACACCTTTGCACATTTGATTTTAATTAGAAAATTATTAGCGCTATTTTAAAATGGGTTGATTCCACATTATCAGATGCCATGCTCTATGTAAATGTTATCAAGAAAAATGTTGTGGATACATTAACACCATCTTATTAACATCTGGAGAAAACAGCATCACATTAAAGCAAATGCCAACACCATAAAATAAAGTCAAACAGTGGGAAATAAATTAGAGCCATGCTAAACACAGCAGGTTATTGATACACTAGCTGAAACAAATATAGAAACTGATTTTCAGCAGGAAAACAGATTCAGGAGCAGCCATTTCTAGCTAGCTGTTAAATGATCAGCTAAATGCAATCCAAGGCAGTTTTGTTACATTTTCACATCCAAATAAACTCTTCTCATCCAACTTCAAGACTATGATTTTTACATGCGTGAATTTTGACAGAAATTATTTAATTACAGAAAGTTAGTTAAAAGGAACATTAAAAATCCTTGGTCTGTTAGACCCTGATCAAGCAAAATAAATAAATAAATAATCAGGGCTTGTTTAACCTCAAACAGCTCATTAACTCTATGAAGTCACCAAGGAAAGTGAATATAATGCAAATTGTTTCTGATCCTTTCCATTAAGAAAAGGAAAGTGCCTTTAAATCTAGAGCTGAAAGTTGTCCCAAGATGAAGCCACCTGTATGAATCCAGCAGAATTGAGCTCACAGATCCTTCAGCACCTCTCATATTGACAATTAGCAGCCTCACAAAGCAATTCCCACCTGCTCCCAGAGAAGAGAGAACTGTAACATACATAAGTGAAAATTGCTTCTGCAGAATGGAAGGACCTAAGATTGCCAGCACAAGAAGTTATTCCAGGGAGATGTTGCATTTAAAGAGAGGATAGTTTGGGAATAGAGATTTTTTCCACCTGATATCACAAAAGGCTACAAAGTTGATAACAAAGATTAAAAGGTCACTATTAGCTGTCCTATGCTCCTTATCTGAGGACAGAATTCTTAACAGTTGCACAGACCTCACATAGTAGATATGCAAAACATCCACTCTGTCCTTTCACTCATGATCCTCAACACACAGTTGGGAAGTTCAAGAAATTGGTCAGATGAAGTGAAAAAAGCAATTTTTCCACCAGATGGAACAAACTGTTTGACTTTGTTAACCCTGGAAGCATAATAGTGGTTGCAAGATCACACAATAAAACCTCTCAGCTAGGAAAATTAATAGTCAATTAATAGTCAAATAGTTATTGGAAGATTAAAGAGAAAGCTAAAATAGATTAACAGATCTTGTTGCAAGTGCCATCACATTAGTCACAAACCATCCCTCAGTCAGTGCTTGATATCAACACAGCAAAAATACTCCTCCAATGTTTTCAAATGGAAAGACAACACACACAACTCTGTTAGCACTCATTCTTCCAGGCAAGGCTGATTAAACACAAAGCAGGAGGTTCAAAGTGAGAAATAAAAGGCCACTGGTTGTGAAGCAAGGACAGGTTCACAGTTTCGTTCTGGTTGAAGCAAGAGAGTTGTGGCAAACAACATTTGGCTTTATGTTACTATTGCTTATCTCTTCTCTGCTGGAAGTTAGTGGGGGGATGGGACAACTTTTGGAAAGGGAAATAGCAGATATTTGTCAAAGGCCCAAAACTGTCACTTCTCATTACGGAAACAAGGTGAAGGATCCACCCCATGTGAGATTTAGATTAATTGCTTTTCATTAAGAGCCAATAAACAAACTCCGGTCAGAATGAGCATTTCTGCCAGCACCCTGTGTTGCCATTTATAATTGCCATAAGGAACAGCAAAGGAGTACCAGAGAGTTGTCAAACGTAATTTATAGGTTTCTAAGACCTAATCATTTTCTATAGTATTAAATTAAATTGCAGCCTTTATTAAAAAGGAAATTACATTTCAACTTGCCTCATTACAGAATATATACATACACACACATAAAATGTATTTTAATATATAAATAATAATATTAGTGCTATCTTCAGTTGCTGTCTTCTCCCGTTTTAGCAGAGAGGAGATGGGGAGGCAGGAAGGGGTGAAGGGGAAGTCTTTGAAAACGTTAGAGGTGAGAAGGTTTATACTATATCGGATTTCCTCTGCAGCCTGTAGCTTGGCCTCCAAAATTCAGTGAGCAATGGCAAGAACTAGACAAAACAAACCAGACCAAAAATCAGCCTGAACTTCAAGTAGTTCCATAGGACATGAAAGCCAAGGAAAAGAGCTGGTAGGCATGTGGTATGTCTCTGTTTAAAGCAGGAGCTTAGAGGACATAAAGAGCTGTTGTGAATGAACTCCAGAACAACAGGCACTGGTAGAGGAAGTGCAAAAAAATTATATTCTTCAGGTAAATTACCTTGCCTGAACAACAAAAATTACAATAAAATTTTCAGCACATGATCAGGAGAAACACCCAGCTCTGAATTCACGAAGGGGATTTATCCCAGGAAATGAGCATGGGCTGCAGGTAGAAAGAACAAGGAAGGAAGAGGCGTCATACTTAATACTCGCCATGTTATATTTGGTTCTGGAAATTACAGAAGTAGCTATGAGCCACTGGCATTCACCAGAGAGCACGTAAGACTCTCAAAGGAGCTGTGAATGAATTCCAAAGTGGACATGGAGTGACACCACATCACAATTCCACTACATGGGAATGCCCATTAATGGAGCTAAGGCAAGATTTGTAACTAGAAGTTCCCGATGCTCTGATCAAAATTCCAGCTGCATCACTGAGTTAACACAAACACCTTCCTGGTTTCACACAGATGATGTCACACTCCTCATCCTCTGCTCCAACCTCACCAGGCACAAAACAGCTGTGACCTGGAACACTGAACCACGGTATTAATGAACTAGTACATTTCTCATGGGTACAACACTGCTATGACCCCAGACTACTGGCTTGGAGTTTTAAGTTGCCTGTGAGCTCGTATCTAAATTTGTCTACCATACTTATGTTTAACACTTCCCTATAACTTGGCACTCAGTTCTTCTCCCAATACCTTTCATTGCCCTGTCCTCACTCTAAAGTCCTGCTCAGCGCATCACTTCTATCCTTCTTCTATACACAAAGCAGAAGAACCACCACCCAAAAACCCTTCATGACGTTACATGTAAATATCTGCAGCAATAGTGTCACTGAGCTATGTTAGCAAGAAGCCTTCCAGTAAGTGAACAAAGACAACAGGTTCAAAGTAAATGACTTTCGTTCCCAGAAATAAGTAGATATCATTAAAACATTATGTACTGCCTCATGATTTTCCTCTGTACTTCCAGTGCGCTTTTGTGTTTCCTTTCATAGCTTCTAGTCAAATTCTCATTCCCTTACTGAAAGTGCTATTATAAAAAGAAATAAACAAAAGAGACAAAAAAAAAGCCCACCTACAAACCACTCAAGTCTCCATAGTTACAAAAGAATCCCAGGTCCATAGTACTGCATTAGCCATTTGTTTTGGAGCACTGCCTTGACCAATTCTGTGACTCAGAACGTAGTTCTGCTTTTGCAATACTGTTTGTGGCAGAAACTCCAGGTTTCCTGTTCACATCTCACACCTTCATAGTGATTTCTATATTGAATGTTTTAGCTTTTTATTGTTTTGAAGAAACACTTAGGCCCTCAAGTCCTAAGTACACTGAATCTTTTCAAAGCCAGGGAGAGGATTTTCTTTAGACATGGCTTTATCTACACAACTTTGTTTTGAAGCTTTTTTTTTAAATCTTTGCTTTCCCATTTTGATTTAAACTATATTAGCTTTGTGTTCAAAAAGCTGCAAAGCTTCAATAATTTATGCTGAAACATCAGTGCATGAGGAGAATTGTTGTATTTTTGGACTTACGATGTCCATTACATTTTTTTAAATTAAAAAATAAATAAATTTGAAATTATATTTATAGGTGTAAAGAAATAATTTTATTGCTATAAAACATCAGTTCACCACACATATGCAGTGTGAACGATTTGGAAATTTTCAATGGGAAAACTAATCTAAAATGCTTCAGTAGTGACATTAAAGTCTGACCATATGAAAAGTCTCACTGGAAAATTTTTGTTGCCCATTCCTCTCTTATCCTTTCTCCCTCCCTCCTATACTATTACTTCAATTTACTTGTGCAGCACGTCAAATGCCCACAGAGATATATAAACACAACTATATTTAGAACATAGCTACAAAGCATACCTGATGCCCTTCTATGCCAACACCATGGAGAAGAAATGAAACTCACTGCAAACACAATCTCATCCTTCTTTCCCCACCACGTTACCATTCAGTTTAATTAAATTAGCCTATATGTCTAACACAAAAATGTACACGAATACTTGTTTCTTACCAGAAAATGTGATACGCATAAATAAACATTTAGTT